AAATGATCATATAAAAAACTCTTAGAATTATATATTTTTATGATTATTTAAAAAGAAGAAAATATTTTTATTATAATCAAATTTTAATATTATTATATCTTTATTGAAAATAAATAATATAATAATATATATATATATATATGAATTTTATATTATGTTCTTTGCAAATGAAAAAGAAAATTAATGATTTTTCTAATTTTTATTTAAAGAAATATAAATATTAAATGTTGACTTGTGTTTTTCATTAAATTCTTTTTCATTAAATTATATTTGATTTAAAAATTATTTGTTACAATATAATTTATTTATTCAATTATTATATTATTATTTAATAATATAAATATTTATTGTTGAATTATTTTAAAGTTTAATTTCATAATATAAGTCTCTATTTAAAGTTCCTGCAAATAATATATTCTGATATATTTGGATTAACTTTTAAACACATAATATATTAATGAATTAAATGTATTATATTTATGCAAAATATACTAATTAACTAAAGTTTTTTAATATCAATAACATATATCGCTATTAATATCACTGTAAAATCTATCATTTTTATCCATAAATTAACAATATTTATAATTTTTACAAATTTTGTAACATTTTTAAATATATATATTCAGCTTCCATAATTAATGATATTTAAATGTATATATATAATGTATATAATATTTTTATGAAATTGTAATAATAATTTCTTCATTATATATAATATAATTGTATAATATAAATATATTATAAATATATATAATTTTAATAAAAGATTCTATAATAATAATAAAGTTTAAATTATCATTGAAATATTTATATAAATATTTTTATATAATTTTAAATTTTATAAGTTTATGTTGATACAATTATCTAAAGCACGGTATGCAGAGGGCGATATCATAGAACCGGTATGAAAATGGGACACTATTTATTCTCAGTCATTCCGAATATTTGATTTAAAAAATTTATTCTTATTTTTTACTAAACATTAAAAGAGATTCAACAAAATTTGTTATAATATTTTAATGTGAATTCTTATGTAAACAACGAAATTTAATTTAATTTCTAAGAAAAATGGGAACTGTTCATGCAAAGGTACACATGTATTATTAGAAAATTACGATATAACCTAAAATAAAAGCTATTAATTTATACCATGAGTAATTTCTAATAATAATTTTTAGTATTATTATTTTGAATATAACAATTTTATAAAATATTTTATTAAATTTGTATTATTTTATTAAATATACTTCTAATTTTATTATATAGATTGTTATTATATTTGATAATTAATTTTTTACATTATTTTTTTCATTAATGAAAATATAATGTAATGACTTATATTTTTCTTTTTAATGTTTTAGGAATCAAATATGTCCAGAAATATAAATGAAACTTCAAGTAATAATACTGAAAAACAAAATTTTAGAAAAAATAATTCTGTAAGTAATATGTATATATTTTTAAAGTTTATTTAATATTTCTTATATTTTTTATTTAATTTTTTTTATAATACATAAAATAATTTAAATTTTTATTTTTAATCCTTATATTTTCAGGAAAAGATGAATTTATTTGAAAAAAGAAAAGAGGAACCCATTGATCTTCATTCAGTAAAGGTATTAATATAAATATAAAACATTAATTTTTTTAAATTAATAATTTTACAAATTAGTAACTCTAGTTTTAAAATATTATAAATTAGGCAAGAGTTGATAGAATACATGTAGATGGGCTTATAAGAACGAAAGATGATATAATAAAAGCTCAAGTAATAGAACTGTTTAAAGCTCAAGATTTTTATGATGTTGTTCTACGTGCCTATAAAGTGAGAGAAAAGTTACAAGGTTTAGGATGTTTTGGAAATATTGGAATTTACATTGATACCAGTCAGGGTCCTCGTGCTACCCCAGAAGGCGTTGAAGTGGGTCTATATAATTACACAATAATTCAACAAAAAATAAGTAATTTCTCAGATTTAATTCTTTCCAGTTCACTCATGAATTTTTTATTTAATGATTAATATATATTCTTTTAAGAAACTTTAAAACCATGTTCTTTTTCAGGTCACTTTTATGGTACGTGAAATAAGACGCTTAACAGGTGGAATTAGTACTATGGTTGGAAATAATGAAGGTTCAGTTATTGTTCATGCAAAAGCACCCAATTTATTTGGAAGAGGAGAACGTTTACAGATGGAATATTCTTATGGTTCAAAAAGTTCAACTAATATAAGTATATCTGCTGTTAAACCATTTATAGATAATTGGCGTCATACAGTGTATGCAAAATTATTTCATTTTAAAAATTAATAATTAAAAATAAGTATTCTTGTAAATTTATATTTAATAATTTTTCTTATAGATTAACTGGTAGTGTGTTTAACACATCAAATAGATTTCCATGGTCTGGTTTTAGTCAATGTGATAAAGGTTTTTTATTAGATATTGGTCTTAATCCAGACGGAGCAGGTACATTAAAACATAACTTGCAATATGAAGCTACATATAGGGAAATAATTTCTTCTAAGCAAGTATCGTTTCGCGTTCGAGAGCAATGTGGTCCAAATTTAAAATCTGCTCTACGACATATTTGTTCTATTGACAAAAGGGATTCGTTAATATTTCCTACTATGGGAAGTTTAGTGCAATTTTCGACAGAAGTAGCTGGTCTTGGCGGAGATATAGGATTTGTTAAAAATGAACTTACCATGCAAACTAATTGGTCACCATATGAATGTCTAGCAAGTATTTTCAAATTTGAAATTATCTCTTATATATAATTTGTGTAATTAAAAAATTTTTATTAGACCTTCCAATTGGGTTTTCAATCTGGATTGCTTCGAGGAATTAGCAATGACATGAAAATAAATATTGCTGATCATTTTTTTCTGGGTGGACCATTAAATCTTAGAGGATTTGATATGAGAGGTTGTGGACCTCGTCATGATGGAAATTCTATTGGTGGTGATGCATATTGGGCTCTTGCACTGCATTTATACACACCATTACCATTTAGACCTGGTCGTAATGGTTTTGGTGATCTGTTCAAATTGCATGGTTTTATCAATGGTGGAAACGTATCCAATTTTACTTTTAAATTTGGTATGATATCTTTAAAGTATTTTTTACGTTTTAATTTGTAATTATTTAGGAAATAAATAATTTCTCATTATTTACAGCTAATGATTATAAAGAAAATATGAAAATTTTTAAAGAAAATGTTCGTTGTGCAGTTGGTGGAGGTATTGCAATGAAACTTGGAAA